GTGTTATGTGGATTTGTCAAAATTGTTACACCCAAATTCCACATGGCATGCAGGATATGTGAAGTTCATATATTTGCTCCGGCACCCGATAAGTATTTAACAGTTTCATTAATCACAAAAAAAATGTTGTTTGTTATACAAAGCTCTTCACATAAACGAGCATACTGATAAAAATAAAAAAAACACTAACAGGTGAATCAATCATCTAAGAAGGACAGACAACACCACTATACTGCAGCTAGAACACTTCCGGTTGTTTTTATCTGTCAAATATAGTAATACAGCGATGTTTCGTGCAATGTCGATTTCATGACACGTCATTTTTCTTCAAAATTTTAAAAGGTTTCGTTTAGGGATGGAAAATGCGTTTAATTTTTGTGTTGACATTTGTATAACTATAAATGTAGCCATTTTTAACTGTAGTATAAAAAACAATATTAGGTCTGAAAAATATAAAAAAAAATATTAGGCACGAAACAGTTGAAAGGCTATGATAGCATACTAAAGACTTGTTACTTTTACGAGGAAACAGACGTAAAAAGTTTGTTTTTATTGAAATAAGAATGAATTGTTAGTTATGTAGGATTAGTGTTTAGGTAAAACTAATATATTATATCTACCTGATAGTGGGATAATCTTGTAGCATACTATTTGTTGTTCTATGTCTACGTGATCGTGGGATAATCTTGTAGCATACTATTTGTTGTTCAACGTCTGCGTGATCGTGGGATAATCTTGTAGCATACTATTTGAAAATATTTTACATTTCCTTCGATTGAAATTACTAAATTTTTCGGATTTGGGGTCTGTCTCAAATTCAAGGCTATCTTTTGAGAATTTAATTACATACTGTATTTCAAGTTTCAATTTTACCCTGTCCTGCGGATGTTCGCTAATGGAACGATAAACTGGTACGAAATGACAAGTAAAAACAGTTTTATATAAAAATGGAGAGATGAGACATGATTGATAATGAGACAACTAACCTTTATGAAACATAAACAACGTCAGGTTACCATACGGCCTGCAATGAATGCCTTCAAAACTGACAATACTAGCATTACAATATGTATATGTGATAAGTCCTATATTTTAAGAAAGTATACCTTATGTCGTTTGTCCTTAAGTATCTAGTAGAAATGTCACCCACCCCCGATTGATTCGGTTTGAATTGAAGAATTGCGTTTTTTGGTGTTAAATCTTGCATATATATTTGTACTGACATAGGCCTAATACCGTCGTATCAATCAATCAATCATAATTTGAATACAAAAAAACATGTTGAAAATGTTCGATCCTGAAATTCACAAAAGATTAATACAGTTAGTTTTTGGGAAGATACTGTTGTACGATTCTCTTTGCTTGTTTTTGAGATAGAATCATGAGATTTCACGGCTTTGTTTGACAGAAACGTTTTGGGTCATTTTTGTTTTTAAAATATTGATAAATATGTATATACATAGTACTGTTGTTGTTGTTTTGTTGTTGTTGTTGTTGTTGTTGGGGACATTTAAATGCATTATTTCGTTATTTGAAGATCGTACATTCTAGTCAGTTATATGAAAACGATAGATGATACAAATGTGTATTCAGAACTGTAACGGCCACTTTCAGGAGGAGACAGAAAATAAATTGGCTGCTCCTCCTTACTTATATGCAATACAAGATAACTATTATTATTAGAGACTGTGCAATTGTTTTTTGTAGACTGTGCAATTGTTTTTTGTCAACCGAGCATCTTCTACAACGTTGTTCGCTGGACGTTAGCCTTTCTTTGGTCGCTATAGTCGTTCTGTGGTTTCTAGACATACCATTTACAATAGCAAATATCTTTTTATTAATGTGATATCAAAAGATAGAACGTACCAATGTGTTTTCAAATCGATCCATTCTAAACAGTTCCGGTCATTTTCAAAACAAGACCATTGCAAATCCGTTTGACGAATGTATTTCATTTGAGCTTTTTTGTTCATACTCCCGTCGATTTGCATGTTGAGTGTATAAAATTTACTTGATCTCTATTTCTGAAATGGCTCCAATTTTATTTCTACCTTATTAATGTCGATATATTATAGAAAATTGTTTACGGAAGAAATACATATATATTCGATGGTCAAAATACGGAATGGCAGGACCGGAAAAAAAATGGTGTTTTGCGGATTTGTCAAAATTCCACATGCAGCATATGTGAAGTTCATATATTTGCTCCGGCACCCGATAAGTATTTAACAGTTTCATTAATCACAAAAACATGTTGTTTGTTATACAAAGCTCTTCACATAAACGAGCATACTAATAAAATAAAAAAGACACTAACAGGTGAATCAATCACCTAAGAATGACAGACAACACCACTATACTGCAGCTAGAACACTTCCGGTTGTTTTTATCTGCCAAATAAAGTAACACAGCGGTGTTTCGTGCAATGTCGATTTCATGACACGTCATTTTTCTTCAAAATTTTAAAAGGTTTCGTTTAGGGATGGAAAATGCGTTTAATTTTTGTGTTGACATTTGTATAACTATAAATGTAGCCATTTTTATCAGTAGTATAAAAAACAATTATATTAGGTCTGGAAAATATAAACTTTTTTTATTAGACACGAAACAGTTGAAAGGCTATGATAACATATTAAAGACTTGTTACTTTTACGAGGAAACAGACGTAAATAGTTTTTTTTTCAATTGAAAAAAGAATGAATTGTTTGTTATGTAGGATAAGTGTTTAGGTCAAACTAATTAATTAACTTCCAGACAGCGAATATATTTTAAAATGAGTATACATTGTGTGCACGTAGATTTCTCAAAATACACCTGACACTATCAGTTTTTTGTTAAAAATATTTATCGTTTTTCGAAAGTTTTAATTTTCTGTGTTATTAATTTTTTTCTCACAATTTATGTCTGCTAAATTATTCATGCTGCCTCAATTTGTTCTACTTCTACGTGATCGTGGGGTAATCTTGTAGCATACTATTTGTTTATTCTACGTCTGCGTGATCGTGGGGTAATTGTAGCATACTATTTGATAATATTTTTCATTTCCTTCGATTGAAATAACTAAATTGTTCAAATTTGGGGCCTGTTTCTAATTCAAGATTGTCTTTAAGAATTTCATACTTCAAGCTTCATTTTTAAACCCTGTCTTGCGGATGTTAGCTTATGGAACGGTAAACTGGTATGGACAAAAACAGTTTTATATAAAAATAGAGAGATGAAGCATAATTGATAATGAGACAACTAACCATTATAGAACGTAAACAACGTCAGGTCACCATACGGCCTTCAATAATGAGCAAAAGCCATTACGTTTGTTAATAATTTTTTGGTCTGGTCCTTCTTGGTCAAATAGCTCATTAACTGGTTTGGTTCTTATACCTCCTAGGTTTTCAAATATTCTGCTTTGAGCGTTTCTGATGAAGGTAAATCCAGAAAAACGGGCACATACAATTTATAAAGTGTTGTTTTCACTTTTTAATAGTATAAATTGCTCCTAAATGGCAAAAAGTGAAACAATTCAAAAGGGACAACTGACAACCTGATTTATGTAAAAAGCATTTAACGAAACAATCAAGGAAGGCCGTAACCAACGACAACCACTTGACTACATACTCTTTGCTTGGGACAGACATCAGAATGTACCGGGTAATATATGTTTATGAGTGTTGAAACCTCGCTCTTACACTAGGACAGTTCTTTTTTCAATTCAATTAAATTAACACTTATCGATAATCACTCTCTCCAAATACTTAGGAATAAAAAAAAGACATGGATAAATTTCAACGCGACTGTCATCTTACAACACAATAAATCATAAAGGATACATAGAGGTCAAAATAACCTTTTACAGCTGACCTAGCTTAAATTAATTTGGCGTTTCTTTTAAGGTTCCTTTTCGTCGTATGGCTCCTTACGAGGCTACGTAGTTAGACATCCCTGGATTTCAAATGTGTAGGTTTGAGCGTCCCTCATCTTACAAAATTTTGAGAAGGGCTTCGGGCTCATGAATCTATAACTTGTTATTTACATTTATAGTAGACAATTCAGTGTTTGTTATAGATAGGTAAATCAATTTTGATTATGAATACCACATTTTCAATAAAACAATTTACACAAAGTGAGAATAAAAAATAAACATTTTTTGTCTATACCAGTTCTTACAAATCTAGTATAGTTCCGACGTCGAGTCTGTAAAAAAGTGTTTCATCACTATAATTCAATCTAATATTAAATGATTCGTCTAATTTGAATTTTATAAATAAGACTTCTTTGAATATAATATACAAATTTGCACATGATTGAAATAGCTTTTAATAAAGCGAGTTGTTGTGCCTAAATTGTACTTGTATGTAAGAACACGATGGGTGCCAAATATGGAGTAGGAACTTTTTTGCCATGACGTCATTTTTTCTTTGAAATGTCCCCTTAGTATCTTCCGCCCCTTTTTAAAGTGAAAATATTGATATACAGAATTCTAGCATATTTTCAAAATTAAAGGTCTATGAACGTTTTCAAACGTTAATAACAATAAGAAGATCTGATTGCCAATGATACAACTATCCACCAGAGACATATTGACTTGGCTTGGATGAAAGTAACTATCATGATTCAGCGTACGACCTTTAACAATGAACAAAACCCATTAAGTATAGTACGCAATAAAGAGCCCACGCATGACAAAATCTGAAACAATTCAAACGAGAAAGCCAACCAATCGTGGATCCAAGATTTGATGTTAGAGGGTGGGGGCGCTTCTCGGAATAGGAAAATAAGGACCTTTTTTAACACACAATTTTACCTTTATTACATTGCCTTGTTTGGGTCCTGAATCCGCGCCTTCTTGCTAAAACATTTCAAACGAAAAACAAATACTTAAAGCAGAGAGCAACCAATGATAACCCCAGAATTACAGATTCCTGATAGGGGCAGATACATAAAGAACATATTTATCTGACTTACGGGTTCCTGACTTGGGACAGGCACATAAAGAACATAATTACCTGTTTCATTTGTTTTTCTTTTTTAGTAGATCCCATCACTGGACACAGACAGTAAACGAATTTTTGCCAGAAATGCAGTTGCAAGTTTTCATCTACATGCTCCGTAGGCCCTGAAATGTATAATCACGTGTGTGTGTGTTGCAAGGAAACTATGTATCAAAGAAAAATACGTATGATCAAAATGTATAAGAAATGTAAATTTGGAACTGGGGCCTCGGTGGACGAGTGGTTTAAGCAGTACAACTGCTGTATCACTAGCCTGTCATACGATTTTGCCTAAGATAGATCAATGTCATCAATCTTAGATGTGTGGGTTCAGGGGCGGATCCAGGATTGTTCAAAAGAGGGGGGCGTAATTCTTGATAATTGAATAAACAAAAAACAAATTGGACGATTTTATACTAAAATAAAAAATACAGATCGTGAAAAACATGACATTTAAAATTTATTTTGGTGATCAAAAGGTGTCGTACGCCCTCTACGTCCCCCTCGATGATGATCCGGCGGATCCGTTACTGGAGTTTGAACACTGCATGTCTTTTATCATAATTTACTTCCCTTGGTTTCATTTAAATAGTTTGTTTGGTTCGGTTCCTTACTTTCTCTCACCAAACAAAAACGACAATTGCGGAAAAATTTTGAAAACTTGAAAGGGTAAAACGAAAAAAAAAATAGCGTCTGAAATATATCTTAGAATGAAACTTAAACATACCTGTTATAAAGCTGACTAACAATCCAACAACAACTACAATTAAGATACCTATACTACTGAACCAAATGTAGGACAGACCATATAATTTCTGAAGACCGTCCCTGTAAACAAATACGAAGATATTAGTCTGGAAGAACATGATCTTTTTAGTGTCTGGGAGAGCATGATTTATTTATTAGTTGAAATTGTGGCTTTGAACAAGCTTTCAAGAACTGTGAGTACTCTCAAGCTTACATCGGTAATTTGTGTCTTTTGTGTCGTTTGGTTTTTTGTGTTGGTGCATGTTGCGTGTCGATCTGATGAGTCAAGCCCTTTCCAACTTATATTTAATATACAATATGTTGTGTTGTTACACCAGTATCCCAGGTTGAGAGGAGGATTTAGCGCTCACAAACCTGTTTACCCTCGCTGCAATATTTTTGGGCCTGTCCTTAAGCCGTGAGCCTGTGATTCAGTGGTTGTTGTTGGTTACTGCTTGCCATGGTTGTTATTTGTTTGTTGTTAAAGTTTTAGTTTTTATAGCCACTCTGGGGCCGTTTTTATCTTGCCTTACGGTAATGGTTTTTGCTCATTGTTGAATGCTGTATTGTGACCTGTAATTGTTCACATCTATGTCCTTTGGTATTTATGGATAGTTGTCTCATTGGCGGTCATATGCATACCACATTTATTTTTGACAAATTGAAATGATTAAATATGTGTATTGCAGTTGCAAATTGTAGTCCATTATATTTGTCCCCGATGCTATTACTTATAGAGATAATCGGATTTCACTATACACAAACGATCATTTCAATCAAAACAAATCGAATACATTGGATTTTGCAGACACCACCAACCACAGTTGAGATTATTACATCTATTGATAATAATGTTTTTTCAACTTTGATATAAATACAACGAGGTTTGGAGTATACGTCAAGTAGACAGCAAGCTATCAATACAAAACAATTATTGCAAAAACCAAGGAACAATTAAAAGGCCGTATACGACTCATTGAACGCGTATTATGTTGTACAAAATCATAACGTAACTACTTGAAGTCATATTTTCCCTGCAATTGAGGAATATTTACCAAATCCTTTCTTCGTCTTAAATGATAATGATGATCGTTAAAACGTAAAAATATCTAACAAAATGTGTTCGTGACTAACATAAAATTTATGGATATTTGTGTGTCGTGTAATATGTATATATCTTCTCTTGACGTTAATATTCACTAAATAGAATATAAAAGTTGTAACTTAATGATTATTTCGAGCTAATATTTTTATCAATATTAACAACTGAGTTAGCTGTTAAAATAATAGTTACTGTACTTTGTAAAAGTAAAACTACATTTACTTACAATTCCAATTCATTGGGTAGTGGATCATTTACAACCCCAAAGACGGAGCCGTTCAAAGCTGTCACATTGCATCCTTCAGTTGATGTTGATAACTTAAAGTTTTGGGGATCGTTTGTATACTTTCCGATTCCACACCACATAGGAAAAGCGAAACCAACGATTCCACCAATTAGTGCGCCCTAAATCATTAACAAATTGAGAACAAAGTTTAAAATCCTTCCTTAAATTATATACATATCATAGGGAAAAGCGATAGATTAAAGGTATAAATATACTTATTTTCCTGGGGTCGGGGTAGGTTGATTTATTTTGTACTGACTTGATATATAATACAGCATATACTGAGCATACATGTATCTCCATAGAGGCATGGCCAATTTCCATTGCATTTGTTCAACTAACAGGCTAGGGTTAGCATTTAAAGGTACTCTAATCAAACTAGATTCTGAATATTAAAGAGTCTATATCATAGTCTTGAAATATGTTTTCAACAATTTTACATATTTCCAAAAAAAAAAAATCACTCTGTTTAATTGTTCCGAGAAAAGTGTAACGAAAATATGTGTTGGACGAACGAAAGGACGATGAACGGACAAATGGACAAGGGGATAGCAAAATAGCCCCGCTTCTGAAATTATGGTACAATATAAACATTTGGTAAGTTCAGTTTTTCCCATATAATGCTTCCCCTCAATAATAGAATAAAATAATACGAACCAGTCATGGCTTTATCAATGATTTTTATTATACAAATTTATTTGAATTCGAGTGATCAGAACCTTTGAGGAGCTGTATCAGCACAGGACCCTGGGTGTGTGATACAGCCACTCAAGGCAAATACTGTATACAGAATATATCAATTAACATTACATCGTATACAGATGCAAATTTATTTTTGAGAATGAAACAAAAATTAATAAATAAAATATGTTGTATGCCAATACATTTGATAACATTAGGCTTATAAAGCTAGTGGTTGTCGTTGGTTGCTGTCTGTCATAATCCTTTTTTAATTCACATTGTTTTATCAAAAATCAGGCCGTTAGTTTTTTCTTTTGAATTGTTTAGTGCCTTATAATAGCTTGCTAATGCTAAAGGCCGTACAGTGACCTGTACTTGTTTACATCCTCGTCCTTTAGTCTCATGGGCAATCATACCACATCTCCGTCACCGTATTATTAAAACATGCGTTTTCACATCTGAATATTATCATGAAAAAAGCTCGGTTGACAGCAACTACCGGTTATCGACTCTTGTGAGATATAATCATCAGTACAATCCAATTGAATACTTCGGGACGATAATTCTTTTTAAATTCTTTTGTTTAAAGCCAATGAGTCAGTGACCTTGTTTTCGTTTTTAATAAAGTATAAAGTCTTGTTAACAGATATACAAATCCACTCCTCTAGTTTATAATAACGCGACAAGATCTTAAAACGAGGCATCTTAAAAAAGTTTGTAGCTTTTGCAGTTTTCTTTAAATGCAAGAAATGTGAAGGAATTAAGCAAACATGCAAGAAACAATTTAACAATATTAATAATGGTTTCAGACAGAAACAGTAAAAATCTTTTAATGATGTAAATTTATAGATTTATGATACTTTTTCTATTTTTGAAAAAGGGGCAACAGAGGTTTTATTTCATAACATTTTACTTTGTATTGAATTTCAAATAAAATTTAATGTCTCGACTTGACATTTTTATATTCTCATTTTAAATGAAATTCAAAAAGAATTTGTAGTCTCGAATTGCAGTCTTTATGAAATAATCTTAAACTTCGCAGTTGGAATTAATCCTGTTTGTTGTGTAGAAAATAGATGTTGTTCGATCATATACGCCTCTTTTTTTCATTACACACTTACTATCCAATTCGATGAAGTAAAGCATGATCCTAGTATAAACAGTCCAACCAATGGAGCACCAGCAGCTCCGTTCAGAGTTATTGATGCCTGTAAAATGTCAATCAGTTTACGTTAAAATATTTCAATGATGGTCTGGATTGGGGGAAGAGGGGCACATTTCTGTAATCTTTAATGTTTAGACCCTTTTTCTGTATTCAATGTGCTTGTCCTTAATTGTAGTATATTCTTTAAGTTTAACCATCCCATTGTTATATTTTCTTTAAATTTTTAGGCAATTCTCCTCTTTTCTTTGGATCAAGATGATGTTTTCTGTAAACCCCATACAGACCCTCTTAAATGGGGTTTTGAAATCATGCGTCTGACTGGTTACCTCCATCATCAAAGCGTGAATATAATTTCTTGTAACGTTTATTTACTTTAAGGTAACTGGGGTGACTTCCTCTATCTTGGATTTTGAAATAGCAGATAACATTTTATTTCTAACATATTAAAGCTTACCCCACGCGATCTTTACATAGATGAAATAACCAATCTTATAGAATTAAGAACAATCTCATCTTTTAAAAAAATTAAACATTGTGTATGAGGGTCTGTATGGGTTTTACAGAAAAGAGAATATTTGGCAAAAAGTGCAGAATAAATGGCTAAAAAATGTAAAGAATAGACAAAAATAGATAAAAACAATAATGAATAGAGAATAATGGGGTGCTAAAATATAAAGAATAGAGAATAATGGTCTTAAAAATTAAAGAATAAAGAAAGAAAAAAAAAACCACATCCATCTAGACCCTCGTCGATTGTCTGCAGAATAAGCAAACACAAAGGATACTTGCCAATCTGTCTGTTATTGGTGCACTACTTGTAGAACGGAAAAAAATCGGAAAGCTGGCGAAACATATTAAAATTTGGATTTTAATGTTTCTAAATAGAATACATTTGAACAATTTTACATGTATCCATATATATCAAAATGTCATTCAAGGCTATATTTTGCTACTCAAAACATTGTTAATACCATACTTCAAATCTAACATGTAAAAATTACTGTTTTGAGACATTTTTAAGCATTTATAATTTAATAGAATATAACAACTGCAAAGTATTATAGAAAGTTGGTAAACTCTCAAAGTGCAGCCTAATGCTGCGATACTGCGAATTTTAAAGAAGATTTAAAAGACATTTTGAAACATGAAAATATATCCATCGATTCTATCAAAAGAACATCTCACCTGTAATACAGAACCGCCCATGTGGCTAACAGCAAATGCCATACCTATACCTAAGCACCCGAACAATAATACTGTAATTTATCAAAGTAAATGTACCAATTAAAACATAAAATCAATGTAATTTAATAACTTGACACAGGAACTTTTAAATTATTTTAACATAATAATTATAATTTTTTTAAAAATCCGGAAATCATTGTATCTCACTCATTTATAGTTCTGATTCCTTGTCCGTCTTTGACTTTACTTTTATTTGTTTTATGGTTTTATCAGCTCTTCAACGATTGTATTGGGTTTTGGATTTTCAAATATTTTGGTCTCGAGCATCACTGAGGAGACATCAATTGTCAGACTGCGCATATGGTGCAGTTAAATTGGTACCGTCAATGTTATTATAAATAAGATATGGAATGATTGCTAATGAGACAACTATCTACCAGAGCTTAACTTAAATGTGAAAGTTTTATTTAAATAAACACTTAATATCTTAAACATAAGTGCCATGTTTCGTGCAATAGAGCTTAACTTCTAGAAGATGTTTCCTGATTCTCGTTTAATCCTATGAAGTTTGAAGCTTCCGTCAACAACAACGTATCAGTATTGAATCAAACTCGTTAAATATGATGGAACGCTATGATTGTATGACTTTTTAACACTTTTTTAATTGTTTGTTGTGTATCATACTTTCAAAGAATATAAAAGTAACTAATCAACTAACTTACAATATAGGATTTATATATTTTACGTTTTCCTATATTCAGATGAAGATACAAATTCTGATTTTTAAAAGAAGCTTACAAAAAGAAGAAAAACAAATATTGCTCATTTACATATATTTTTGACCTCATAGAATGTGTCATAATTTACAGAAAACTTTGAAGAAAACCGGATGATATATAGCATATTAGTTTAAGTTGATTTGCATTGTAATATAGTGATATTGTCTTACTGACGTTTATTCCATATATCTAAACACAGTTCAAGGTTTTACTTAGAGCTATTTTCCTAATGCTTGTAGTTTAAAAGTTTGGTTGGCTTGCTGCTTTGCTTGTATAAATGTTTGCTCAAACATTGTAATTAAGATTGACATCTGCAATCAATAGATAGGTGGGGCTTCAGCTTGTATACATTATACTCTGCATTATACTTAACATCCAATAACATTTAAGTATAATAGAAAAACAAAGGATAATGTATACAAGCTGAAGCCCCGCATTTATACAAGCAAAGCAAGCAAGCCAACCAAACCTTCAAACTACAAGCATTAGGAAAATAGCTCTAAATTGAAAAGTTTGTTGTCTTTTAAAATTATATTCAGGTTTTAAAATAAAATCAACCAAAAGTTCATACCAAGACATTTAGTGACAAACGTGGCTCTCTCATCAGACACCTTGTAGAATTTCAACTTGAGAAAGTCTTCCCATGTGACAGCAGATAATGAGTTTAACATGGATGATATTGAACTATAAATATATATGGTGTCTGATTTAGTATTATATGTAACAATTAACAAATTAAGTTAGTTTTTTAGCAGTAATAATAAAACAATACATGCATGACTAGTAACTGTAATATTTTTGTCTCCAGACATCTATTGACATACAAATGATTATTTTGTGTGTGTTTTTTTGTTGTTGTTGTTTTACATTTTGTTCTCAAGAGTCGGACTTTGGTGATTCATCTGGTCTGTTGTACTGAATTATATTTTTGTGTATTTAAATTATCAGCCGAACGATCCAAGAACATGATGTCACCAAACCATTTTTAAAATTATAAAATTTCAATACATATTTTCTTATGCACTTGTTTTGGTTTAAAAATATAAAAAGAAGTAATTGAATCTGCAGAGTTGTACACGAATTTTTTTTCTCAGAGAATATGATATGCAATGATAAGTCCCATATCAAGTTATCAAACATTGTAAACATTTGTCAACAGGTAGCCCCAATAGATGAACGACGCATGCTTAAAATTTACATATTACGAAAAATTCATAAAAAGACTTGTAATATTGTAGTAACACTTATTTTCAAGGATTTTATACCCCAAGAAAATATTACCTTCGCTGTATTTGGCAAAAGCTTTCGGAATTTTTGGCCCTCAATACTCTTAAGCTGTGTAAATTATTTGGTCTTTTAACGTTTTTCATTCGAGCGTCACTGATGAGTTTTTGTAGACGAATTGCACGTCTAACGTACAAAATTTTAAGCCTGGTATCTTTGATGAGTTTTTTTAATATATATATATATATATTGCGAAATACTTTATTTTGTCCTCTATATATTATTAGCAAAATTTTGTCAATAAATTTCTGTCTTTTTGACATATACCGCACATCTCATGTTATTAGTGTTTACAATACATAAATAGCCGTCTGTGGACTCTGTTATTTTACAAATGACGCCTATTTTATCTTTTATTAAATTATTTTTATACAGAAAAAAAACAATATATCTTTCCATCTTTATAATAAATACCACCTTAATATCCTCATACATATAGATAGAAATAATAGACGTTTCATTCTATACAACAAAATTGAAATTGGCGACGAATTTTATGGTATATTACTATCCAGATATTTCGAAGAAACAGAGAAGTTTGCAAATTAAATTATTATTCTCGAAATGCAAATAATTATTATTCAATACAGAAAGATCCCAAAAATAATAAAATCATAAGTGATATTTAAACTTAGTAAATTTATAAAGATTACCCACACAGGTGTACGTGCGACTGGCTAAAATTGTATTTCATAAATTGCATAAGGATTTTTATTGTTTCATTGTAGATATTGTACTTACATGTCTTTTCTGTACCTGTATACTATTACATGTATAACGTGAGGGTACCCAAATTGCACCTATTTTGACAGTTTTTTTCACCTACGTTTATTTATGTTCCAGACAAACGTTTCCATTCTGTGTTTATTTTGTAGATCCTTATTTACTATATAGTTACACCAATTTAATTTAGAGTCCATATTGAATCATAGAAAATGGGTTTGAACTGATCTCCAAACGATCCATGATTCTGTCATGAGGAATACCCAACTTGCATTCATGCTTAAATTCATATCCTTAAAAATCGAATGACAGATGTCTGTTTTATTTATTCAAATATTTAGAACAATTTGATATTAGTCCATGTTTACTATTCTTTTTTTGAGAAATGGATGCTTATAACATATTTTATTTGCTCATTTTTAAAAGATGACTGTTTGTGGACGTCGCATGGCGGCGTTTTCGTAGATTTTACTTTTTCAAGTCAATACTTCATCTGTTGATATGCATGTATACTGTGTGTATATTTAAATATAATAACTTATGTTGAAAGAAGTGAATGTCGAATCATAAAAATACATATTGTTTAGTCTCAAAGAAAACTTGTATGATTTTTTCCGCTGCTATTTTTGCTGAATAGGTGCAATTTGGGTACTGTGACGTTATATGGTTTATTGAGAATAAAGATATATATACCTCATTGCTCCACTAAACAGACATGCAACAAACAGACCAGGTATTCCAGGAACATCCCTAAACAGTTCCACAACGAAAAGAGGCAGAAGCTACAATATTAATATGTCTAAATGATTATATTTTTCGTCATTGTTTGTACGAAGAATGTGATTCGTGAAATCTGCCTTCAGCATAATGTAATATTCTAGTATTAAGTTATATCTGGGACTATTATACTAACGGGACTGGCAGCCGTTACACCAATCATTGTAATTATACTAAACATCACGGTCGTTAGAACGAGACTTTACCTGCGCGAGATTTGTCGACTCGCCATATTGTTTTGACAGTGTCAGCGGGCCTTCATTGCGTAATTTTTGTAAGTTGCTTTTATAGCTAGTTGAAATGATAATCCTTCATGTAAACATGATTATTATTATGATGAAAGATATCTCGATAATTGACAGTTGTAAGTAATCACCAAAACCCGCCTTTAATGTAAAAAATTACATCTAAAGGTTGCAAAATTTTCAGGATGTTAAAAGCATGGAGACGCTGTGAAAAATGGGACGCTTCATAAAATTTCTAAAAAACTTTTGATTGAAAAGAGATACGCAAGTTCTGTTTTTTGTAAAATCATATTTATATGTTATAGGCTGTACTTGTCTTATTTTTATTGTAATTTTTAGAGTGAAAAGAGTAATATAAATCTCTTTTTCATTGAAACAGGAAGCCACATGCAGGGCTTAAAGAAATTATAGTGTTCCTATAAAATTACTTACTCCTGTTTCAGTGCGCAATATTTGTATTTAAATCATGTTTTTCTTGCAGTAATGGTCATCAGGTGACATAAGCATCTTACTTCATGAAAATATGTACAGTAGGTTTCAAATTCAAAAGAAGGCCCTTTTCACGGTTATTGCGTTCATATTGAATAGGGGCAGATTTTCATATTTTTTATGCCATCCTTTTTATCCTATATATACTTCAAAGAGAGGGGATGCATCTCCTCGATCAGCAAATGTCCAATTATTTATCTGTTCCTAGTATAGACGTTATGCCCTTCAATGTATCATTGTAATTTATTTTTCATTACAGAACCTTTCTGGAGGCTTCCCTGGTTAGATATTCAAGATGATACTGAATGCAAAAAGAGGGAGAAAACTGATGAAGTAGCAGATAGTGATCGGATTTTTGGTCACGAGTTTTATGTGATTTTGGACAAACCATACAAATACAACAATACTATTCTACTCTAAATTGAAGGCACAGTTTGACAACAGTAAACATCCTGAATTTATGTACATGCCTACTTCTGGATCATTAGATATATCCAGTGCTATGACTCAAATAATTCAAAAGTGAAAATGAGTGTGACAATACCAGATTTATTATCAATTGTAACATATGCATTATGTTTATATGAAATTGTACAAAAATAAATAATTTAAAGCAATCCATCTATTTATTTACATACACGGGTTCACATTTGTTCACACTTCAGGCGAGAGGTTCACAGTAATTGAAAAGTAAAGTTAATCATGGGTGCACATTTGTCTTGTCCTTCAGAACTTTGCGAAGAGGCTTGACTGAGGTAGAGTATTTTTTATCATGTTGAATCTTAATCTAGTGTGTGACTGCATGTCCACAAATTAATCAAAACAAGGAAAGTACGTGTTCCAGTATGTATCCAGTATGCACAGGGTTGAGACACAATTTGCTAAAATAATGTTTCACCATAAAAGCAAACAGAATCTGTTCCTTAAGGTGGTACCTAACACTACAGGGAGATAACTCTGTAAAAATCAGCTAAACGTTTTAATCACGTTGTATTGTTTAGGAAATATTAAGCTTCTCAATGATCAAAATTAGTGTTTGTCAAACTGCTATATAACCAATGAAATTTTTCTGATAAAGTGGTTGGTTCAAATTTTTTGAAATTTTTATATTTTTGTCAAAGGGTCAAAGTAAACATTTTGTCAAAATTTTATGAAAATTAAACAAGCCAAATTAATATTAGTCAAGGTGTTGGGTACCACCTTAAGCCCATGTTTGTTTATGGTATAGGAATTAATAGACGCATATAGTTGAAATGTAACCAACTTTTGACAAAGAATGGTTCTGAATTCCTTACTAAGAGGAAAAAACTGATATACCCAGATGTGTAGTAGAGTGTGGATTGCTGACTGTCGCTTATTACTGGGAACCAGTCAGAGTTTGTAGTAGAATTTTGTGAGAGCAGAAATGCCCGGTTTTGAATAATGATGTCTAAAAGTCCGCGAAAGAAAATACTAAATTAAATGAAAACTGTTGTAAATGAACTTGCAGAATTAATAATAGACATGCAGTTGTCCTTAAGGTTTGTGTCTACACAAGTTGAGAAAAATGAAGCAAATATTCTTCATTTTCAATTTGTTCTGGTGTGAGTCTCTTCTTGAAAATATGGACCAAAACAGGTCTTATAAGGCAGATTTAAGTTTAGTTGTTGCATGACAGGTTGGTTGTCTCATATATATCTTACAATTGTTACATTGTGTTTACCATTTTTAGAGACGGAACTATTCCGGAATGGACAATTTATGATGCCTTCAAATATCTGTGTAAAGACAGAATCAAAAACCCCTTGAAAACAGTAGTTGACATTCTGAACTTATAATTGTGGTCAGTTGATAGTGTAGCTGCAGATGCTGGAGCTGTGTTAGACCTTTGATGTTGTGAACTTTGTGTTGACCTCTCATATGGACACGGAAAACGGTGACCCTTTTGAGTTCTTTGGCACACATAGGGCAAGAATATGCTGGCTTCAGCATTTGCAGTTATAGCAACCTTTAATGGCTTTGACAGCACGTCGTTGGAACAATCACCAGCGTCAACATCAGTGTAATCACCATTGAAATAAAAAAAATCTAGATCGATACCCGTCCCAATGCAAAAAGCCTGTTTTACTGCACATTTTGAAACAATAACTTTAACCATAAAACAAATACAAATGTTTTAAATTATCTCTGACCAAAGCTTAAGAGAAGCCTAACTAGTTTTAACTGTTTAACTCTGAGAAATTTAGGTGTAACACGGAGTTCGGAAAACAATTGGGCTATAGAGATAGTTTTAACAAACCTGGATGATATCCTAGTTACCGTTTTTACAGGGATAAATAATGAACTGAAATTCCCAACATATTTTTTTTTTAATTGCACAATTACTGTTTTTATTAGGATTAATCATGATCTATTAAACATATAAACGTTGTTTTCTTAGCGGTCAAGGTCAAGTAAAGCGCCGGCATTTCGATTAAATTTGTTATTTCAACACTAATTGACTACTTATTAGCAATTTTTCATAAACTATAAGAAAAGTATTTATCTTTTCCGAAACAAATTCGATGATTTAGCTAAAATTGAGAATATACTTATTTTAATCGGCTTTAAGGTGGCTCGGGAGTCTTCCTCCATTTTGGATTTTGAAATAGCAGATAACGTTGGTCTAGATCTTTGATGAAATGTGCAAATTTTGAGAGTAGTATGTAATTTATGTGTAAGACTTTGATGTAAATATAGAAAATTGTGGGTTTTATCATAATTACGACTTTAATTTCTAAAAAAACACCTTATTTGTGTTTGATTATTTTTTTTTCAACTTTGCCAAATAAGGGGAGATAACTCAGATAAAGTAATTTTTATGATAGAAAGTGTTGTGAATTTACCTATTTTAATCTGTAGCAAGAAAACAAGTTCGGTGACCCCATTTTTTCTTTTTCTTATCTGAAAGCATGTTATAAGAGCTATCTTCTCACATTTTATCTTAAAATTCTATTATGTAGTTTTCTTTTTATCACACACAATTGGATTTTCCATGCATAATCTATACAAAATATGACAATTTTGCACAACCTGTAGTGTGAAAAAAAGTCCGGTGACCCATACTTTTTATTATATTTTTGAAAAAAGCATGATAAAAACTTATTATGACAAATTATTAAAAAATTCTATCAGTTTTAATTAAGACACCCCAGCCACCTTAATTCATCCTTGTGTAAAAAAAAAAAATTCTTTCTAGTAAATGTATGTAATTTGTCAAAATGGTTTTATTATTTATATATTTTTATTTTTTGCATTTAATTATTTCTTTTTCAATTTAAACCCACAAATTTTAACGGTATTCTATATGCTAACTTGTTCGCCGAAATCTGTTATTTACATGTATCGAAGGCTAATTAACCACGTGACACGATAAGCTGTCTGTTTAGATCAAATATGATTGTGTTTTAGGGCACTATAAGGCATAGTTCAGCGCACTTCTCATTTATATGTGTCTTTACCAAGTCATGACTATGACAATTATTTAATGAATGGCTATTATTTATTTTGAATTAATTGAACCATAAAATTAATTTTGTTAATGTGAAGAGTCAAACATTAATTTTATGGTTCAATAAATTCAAAATAAATAATAGCCATTCATTATAAATAAATTTCTATCAAAAATAAGGCCCAAAGAGCTTTTTATATTATCTATATTAACAATAACAACGTACACAAATGTTGGCGTATGAATACACAACGTCAGAGTGGGCGTGTCGCCATAAAAATTGACAACATTGAAAATAAAGGTAATACTTTTAACCAATCAGAAGACAGTAAATACACCAAATTTATTTATTCACCTATAGTTTCAATTAAAATTTTTCAATGGATATGAAAATAAGTACATTTGTATATTTGGTATGGTTGCTAAGGTGGCAAGCATCCAACAGTGACCAAAAGATGAGGATGTCAACGACTTAGGTCATCGACCCGCATTTAACAAGGACATATGTATGTGGTGTATAACAAGATTCAAAGGTATCGGCATGACGAAATGTAAAACAATCCAATGAGAAAAATAACCTGGCGTAATTTATGATTGTAAAAGAATCACCAAAACTCATTATTAATAATGTTTTCATTTGCAACATTACTTGATTGTCTTTCTTTTTACAACCTTAGATCTTGGCTATTAGAGCACGTCTTTTGACAACACGACGTGCTCTTATGTAGCCTCTATGAAGTCGACGGAATAATGTTCGAGCACTAACACGACCACCTGGAGGCCAGTGGTGTATAAGCTATGG